AAGTATTGGTTGATCATATTTTCCCTTACATATCATGTGGTGGTACTGATTTGGAGTCTCCATGTTTGTTTGCAACTGTATTTATGATTTAAGATCCGACTGCTATTGGCATCTCACAACGTACAGTAATTACTCATTGGTTTGCAAGATAAGTCTATGACTTTGCTTCACGTCCCTTGTCATGCAGGGAGGGTAACACCAGAAAGTGTAATATATAGCTTTGGGACTCTTTTGCTTGATCTTCTCAGTGGAAAGCATATTCCCCCTAGCCATGTGAGTAATTTCTTGTGTGGTAAAAGGGAACAAAATAGAGAAAAAAGTGTTAACAGGAAAAGAATATTGTTTCTTGATGTTAATCTTTCTCCCTACATAATATTGTTTACTTTCAATTGTTAGGAATTCTGCATCATGATTTCGTCTTCTTAGGTTAAGTGTAAACACTGAAGTAAATTTCTTGACTTGACTGATTATTTTGTACCAGGCCCTAGACCTTATTCGGGACAGAAATCTTCAGATGCTGACAGATTCTTGCTTGGAAGGACAGCTTTCTGATGATGCCACTGAGTTGGTACGGTTGGCTTCACGGTGTTTACAATCTGAACCCCGAGAGCGACCAAATCCGAAGTCATTAGTTGCTTCTTTGACGCCTCTTCAAAAGGAAACTGAGGTCAGTTTTGTGTTTCTCTTATAAAGCATTCGAATTTCAACTAAATCAGGGAGCATCATTTGACCACCTGAAAAGTTGCACAAATAGTTTCTAGATCCATTTTTTGTGGCAGTCTTTTAAGCACTATATTTAATGGATATCTTCTTTCCACTGGACTCAATCTGAGTCTGAGCTATTTCTGCAAGTGCAGATCTACCGGATCTTTATTTTTATCGGCAGTGATCGCTTCGACACAGAACCTTTTGACAAGTGGAATATTTGAAAATTTGAGAATGGGACATGACACTCATGTGTTACTAGTTATGTAGGACTTAAGAGAGCTACACTTTTGTTCAGTGCCTTTCATGGTGAGCGATATTCTAAGAAAAATCTTGGAAAATCTGTATTGCCCCAAAACTGAGGGTCATTTTTATAGGGGTTTTAAGGTATTTTGAGTTTATAATCCCTTAAACTCATAGTTACCAACCTCAAAGTTAGGGAGATGGAGAACCAACTTCTATAAGAATATATCTATTTGAAAGTCTATGCTTACTTCTTCGGTGTGAATTCAAATCACTAATGATCTGAACCATCTTAGTAGTTCGATTAAATATAGAGGCTTGACATAATGCTGGTATCTATAGTTCCTTTAAATTTCTTTTTTGCTTATGACTGCAGGATCCCTCTTTTGTTTTGATGGGTATTCCAAACAGTACCTCCTGCTCTCTTTCACCACTTGGTGAAGCCTGCTCAAGAAGGGATTTGACTGCTATACATGAGGTCCTAGAGAATATTGGCTATAAAGATGATGGAATGACAAATGAGGTTCTATATTTGTTTAAAATGATGGAGAAATATAAAATTGCCTCTACTTCTGCATAATTAGCCTTCTAGATAGTCTGCTTCTGTATTCATTTTGTGCATGTGGTTGTTACTGAACTTCTCATTTGCATATGTTCTGTTGCAACTGTCTGTTGAGTTTCTTGCCATTTATCTTGTATGCAAAGTACTGTTACTGAAACATTTTCATTTCTCACGTTCCACTGCAGCTCTCGTTTCAAATGTGGACTGACCAAATGCAGGAAACATTAGATTCAAAGAAAAAGGGGGATTCTGCTTTTAAGCAGAAGGACTTTAGAACCACAATTGAGTGTTATTCACAGGTTAAGTTCTTATTGTGATACTGTGGTTGGTTGGTTTCTTTTTGCATTCTCTTCTCTTGTAGGGAAATTATACTCATTCCAGCTATTAGAATTACTTTCAGAAATAACAAAATATGTTTGTAACATCTTATCTGCTAAATCTTGTAGGAACAAGTGAAATTGGTAGTTCATAAACAGTCACAAAATTAGTGGATTTGGTCCTAGTAAAGCCTTTGTTGCTACTTTATTTGTATGTGTTATCCTGCTAACAGTTTATTCCACTTGCAGTTCATTGATGTTGGAACCATGGTTTCTCCAACAATTTTTGCCCGGCGCGGTTTGTCTTATCTCATGAATGACATGCCTCAAGAAGCTCTGAACGATGCAATGCAAGCTCAAGTAATTTCCCCAATATGGCACATTGCATCTTATCTTCAGGCTGCTGCCCTCTCTGCCCTTGGAATGGACAATGAAGCACAAGCAGCACTGAAGGAGGGTACTATGCTTGAAGCCAAAAGAAACGCTGCAGCTGGAAAGAAGTGAAAACCAAGGATCAGGTACTGAATTTGACACTTCTCAGTATGACGCTCAGCACATATAGATGTTGCTCATAAGGTTTCGAATCACGGAAGTCAAAGCTTCACTCAGTTCCATGATATTAAGATTTTGGTCATTTTCCCGTGAGATATGTTGTATTTGAATTCTTTGATTTGATTTGATTTCTTGTCCGTTAAATGTTTCCAGTATATGAATTACTCTGGAAAATTGGAAACAAAAAAAATGTTGTAAACAACAGTGGGAGGAAAGAAGCTTGTAATTTTACCCAAAAAAAAAAGAAGCTTGTAATTTGTGTACAAAATACTTAAAAGATTCATGGTGTATTCTTTCTGATGAAAAACACTGGATACCATTCCTGTTGGGTGGAACCACACTAAGGGCTTTTTTAAGAAAAAAAATATAAAACTTATATATTTAACTTATTTTCAATATTAGCCCAATCAGTGGCGGTGTATTATATTACTCCATTTACTTAAGTTTATAATGTAAATAATGAAGTACCCCCCATTTGGATTCAATTAAGTAATTAAATAAATTTGAGTTTTCAATTAGTTTGGATCACACTATATTGATTGACTTGATAGACAAAAACAAGCTTCTTCATGCTGAAGAGTTTACAAATCAAATAATCACTTTTTCTTTTTTCAATAATTTCTAATTTTATATTGGAGAAATTTTTTGAGGGTAAGCTAAGTGGAACTACTCGAATTTTGGCCCAATATTTCCTAATTTTCTTCCCACGCAATTATTAATCTAGACTAGACTTGAGAATTGAGATGGTGATTTGCCTTCCAATGCACACCAGACTCTTTCTCATTATTGTCTTGCAATTGTTGACTTCGCTTGACTTGACTTGAGATGGTTGGTAACTGTGCCTTTCGGTGTCCACTCAACCTTTTAAATTTGCTTTCTATCCAAGGCGGGGCACAAGCTACAATTATCTTCTTGCAAATATAATCTATACATAAATAAAAGCTTAACAACAAAAATAAAAATCACAAGTAAATGCAATGCAACACAAAACATCACTAATCAAATCTAAAATTTTACCTTGCGAGACTTAAAAGTCTTAAATTCCTCAATTATCGATGTATTAGTGATACTAATAGCAAACTCTCTTTCAATGTGGAGGGTCATGCAATCAACAAGAAACTCATCAGCTACGGTGCTTCAAAGCCGATTCTTAATTCAACAATATCAACAAACAACAAATCAAACATTGAAACATCTCAACAAAATTCCTAAAATGAAAGCCCTAATTAATTTCAACAAAATCACAAAATTATAATTCAATCCCTAACCAAACCCTAGAATATTCAATTTTAAATTAAAACTATAATTAAAGATATATAGAGAAAATGAGAGAATTAGAAAATACTTATTGTAGAAAGGAGAGGAGAAGATATTGCCAAGTTGCCCATTGCCCAGCCAAGATAACAGGAAGATAATGAAACATATGTCTACCAACCCAATATTATTATTGTACGTATATATTTATTGATACTTATATAGTAAAGCATAAATCTTCTACCAATCACATATTAAAAATAAGATAAATTAATATTACATGTGGTGTTAAGACTCTTAAAAATTTCTCATATTATAATTTATAATGATGATTACGAAATTCTCAAGTAGGAAGAGTATATTTAGTGCTGAATCTGATCGCTAAAGTTTCAGAGCAAGGAATTCAAAGTGTCCTTCATTTTGTATTCAACTTCACCTCTATTTGTGAGATGGTGCACAAGTTGGTCTGTAAAGATGGTCTCTCTAGCCATCAAGGTAAAACTACATGTATTATTTGTGACTTTTAGCCAACTCTTTATGAATAGGGATCGAAATAGATTCCCAATGGGGAATATGGTCCCCAATGTTTGTGTGGATGGATAATCCTTGACGGGGACTAGGCAGAGGATGAGGATGATAAATTTTTGCAAGGATAGGGATGTGGGAGGAAAATCCGTTGATTACTCTAAAAAATTTCTCATATTATAATTTATAATGATGATTACGAAATTCTCAAGTAGGAAGAGTATATTTAGTGCTGAATCTGATCGCTAAAGTTTCAGAGCAAGGAATTCAAAGTGTCCTTCATTTTGTATTCAACTTCACCTCTATTTGTGAGATGGTGCACAAGTTGGTCTGTAAAGATGGTCTCTCTAGCCATCAAGGTAAAACTACATGTATTATTTGTGACTTTTAGCCAACTCTTTATGAATAGGGATCGAAACAGATTCCCAATGGGGAATATGGTCCCCAATGTTTGTGTGGATGGATAATCCTTGACGGGGACTAGGCAGAGGATGAGGATGATAAATTTTTGCAAGGATAGGGATGTGGGAGGAAAATCCGTCCGGTTGCCATCCTCAATTGACTTGACTTAGTAATTGATCGGCATAAAGATAGATAAAATCTACAGTTCCTAGCTTATTCATTGAATGATATGCTAAAGAGTATCGAAATCAGATGAGCAAAATCATCATGGAGGATATGAGCTTTTCCATTGATTGGGTACCATTCTTAGTTAGGCTTTAGTTTAAACGTCTCTGTCTGATTATAATAAATAAATTATTAGTTATTTGATAAGAAAATGTTTAAGTTTGACAAGATTTTGCATAAGGCTGCAATCTATGAGATGCAGAAAAGAAAAGAAACAAAGTTAATTGGCTTTCTGTAAATCTTATGATCTAAAATACTCTGTAGAAATGTTGGAGAAGTCCCAATCAAGTTCTTACAAACAAGACAAGTAACAAATCATTTACCAAGGAAAATTCCCACTACATAATTCCTTACAAAAAAGACACAAATCTTTATAATGGAGTTGAGCAAAATTAATCCAATATACACTTGAAAACTTCTGCAGATATATCATTGCTTCCATGGCAACGGTGCACTCTTCAAGTCAAGTGAAGCATGGATGTCGCCTCAGAGCTAAAAGTATACAAACATCCGTAAGTTTCGAAAATATAGTTAATTATAAAACCAAATTAAACAAAAAGAAGAGTTCATGTACTTACATCTTATCAATTAAGCATATCCTTGAGTTGCCGCTTGATCAAAGCTATTCTACTCAAAATAATTAGGGTTTAAACTGATATGTTTATTCTTCTCTCAAGGAGGAATATATATATACTACATACAGAGTGGGTACAAAAAAGAAATATGTACAAAATTCCTAATTCTACTCAAATTAGATAATCACAATAAAATATAAATTCTATTCATAATAGGAACGTTGACTCACGCCAACACTCCCCCTCAAGTTGGTGCATAGATATCGATAATGCCCAACTTGTGTGATCAAAAAAGAAAGCAGATGATAATGGGAGCCCAACCTCTCGAAGGAAGGAAGAGGACAGCCCATAACCTAAATTGCTTTGTAATTTTGTTTTTACTGTTTTCTCCTTTTTTTCAAATGAAATTGTTTTGTCATTATTTTTGGTCCAAAAAAATTGTTTTGTCATTAACTTTCTTTTAATAAATGGTGATTTGGTAAAAAGGTACTCAACTTCCTTTCTGCCTCCAATCTCATTTTATTTCGACATAAAATGGCACATAGAATTAAAAAAATCAACACTTCTCTGGCGTAGCTGCATCTTTCATCGGATTAGTTGCAAAGAAAACAAATACAACTCCTCCAGGAATTAGAGGGGACAGAGAAACCAACGCATTCATTGGTAAAGATGAAATAATCCTTGGAAGGAAGGAGCTTGTGTCAGATATAATTTCCACATTAGCCAACTCCAACATCAAGTAAGAAAATCTTTCAGTTATGGTCATCGTGGGAATGCCAGGCTTGGGAAAAACAACTCTGGCCAAGGCAATATACGATATGGATTCTATAGACAATTATTTTGATAAAAGGATATGGGTGTGTGTATCGTCGTCTGCTTTGGTTTCCGATGGCTGGTGGCGGCGCTGGCCCTGCCGTTTGGAGATCTTGGTCATGGTGGGACAGCCTGCATCACACATAGTGGCTGCGGTGGTTGGCTTGATGAACAGCAGCTGGAAGAAACTCTGATGTCGCTTGGGTCAGTGGCGGATCTAGGATTGAAAAGCCAATTGGACGAAACTTACATACTAAAGTCGACGGTACTAGTGAATTTTATTAATAAGTGGAAAAAAGTACACCTATTAGGGGATGTAATGAGCCTTACCCTCAAATGCATCTATACATAAATAAAAGCTTAACAACAAAAATAAAAATCACAAGTAAATGCAATGCAACACAAAACATCACTAATCAAATCTAAAATTTTACCTTGCGAGACTTAAAAGTCTTAAATTCCTCAATTATCGATGTATTAGTGATACTAATAGCAAACTCTCTTTCAATGTGGAGGGTCATGCAATCAACAAGAAACTCATCAGCTACGGTGCTTCAAAGCCGATTCTTAATTCAACAATATCAACAAACAACAAATCAAACATTGAAACATCTCAACAAAATTCCTAAAATGAAAGCCCTAATTAATTTCAACAAAATCACAAAATTATAATTCAATCCCTAACCAAACCCTAGAATATTCAATTTTAAATTAAAACTATAATTAAAGATATATAGAGAAAATGAGAGAATTAGAAAATACTTATTGTAGAAAGGAGAGGAGAAGATATTGCCAAGTTGCCCATTGCCCAGCCAAGATAACAGGAAGATAATGAAACATATGTCTACCAACCCAATATTATTATTGTACGTATATATTTATTGATACTTATATAGTAAAGCATAAATCTTCTACCAATCACATATTAAAAATAAGATAAATTAATATTACATGTGGTGTTAAGATTACTCTAAAAAATTTCTCATATTATAATTTATAATGATGATTACGAAATTCTCAAGTAGGAAGAGTATATTTAGTGCTGAATCTGATCGCTAAAGTTTCAGAGCAAGGAATTCAAAGTGTCCTTCATTTTGTATTCAACTTCACCTCTATTTGTGAGATGGTGCACAAGTTGGTCTGTAAAGATGGTCTCTCTAGCCATCAAGGTAAAACTACATGTATTATTTGTGACTTTTAGCCAACTCTTTATGAATAGGGATCGAAATAGATTCCCAATGGGGAATATGGTCCCCAATGTTTGTGTGGATGGATAATCCTTGACGGGGACTAGGCAGAGGATGAGGATGATAAATTTTTGCAAGGTTAGGGATGTGGGAGGAAAATCCGCCCGGTTGCCATCCTCAATTGACTTGACTTAGTAATTGATCGGCATAAAGATAGATAAAATCTACAGTTCCTAGCTTATTCATTGAATGATATGCTAAAGAGTATCGAAATCAGATGAGCAAAATCATCATGGAGGATATGAGCTTTAACATTGATTGGGTACCATTCTTAGTTAGGCTTTAGTTTAAACGTCTCTGTCTGATTATAATAAATAAATTATTAGTTATTTGATAAGAAAATGTTTAAGTTTGACGAGATTTTGCATAAGGCTGCAATCTATGAGATGCAGAAAAGAAAAGAAACAAAGTTAATTGGCTTTCTGTAAATCTTATGATCTAAAATACTCGGTAGAAATGTTGGAGAAGTCCCAATCAAGTTCTTACAAACAAGACAAGTAACAAATCATTTACCAAGGAAAATTCCCACTACATAATTCCTTACAAAAAAGACACAAATCTTTATAATGGAGTTGAGCAAAATTAATCCAATATATACTTGAAAACTTCTGCAGATATATAATTGTTTCCATGGCAACAGTGTTGAAGTGAGTCTCCTAATTAATCAAGAAACTGATACCATGCTAAAATATGAATATGGGTTTTGAATATGTTAGGTTCTTATTTTTATATAGTTGTCAAATCATTGTATAATTAGGAGATACTTTCCTAATCCTTTACTGGATCTAATTCCTTGTAAAGCACTCATGTAAACTCTTATATATACCTCCTTATGGAGAAGAATAAAAATAAGAACCTAACATATTCAAACCAAATATCATATTTTAGCATGGTATCACAGCAATCGATCCTCGGTTGTCTCTAAATTCTCATATCAAAATTTCTCCTCTCCTCCTCTTCAAGGGGGGGAGGGGGAGTGAAAAAGGATCTGTTTCTCTTTCTCATGGAGATTTTGCCTCTTTCTTGACTCCGACATACCCTTCTCTTCAGGGGGAGAAGAGGATTGAAGAGAAGTTTCTATGTTCTTAAGCC